GCACCACTCCCGGCCTGAAAAAAATGCAAAACGGATCGGATCACTTCCAGACAGTCGCGCGATGTAGACAGATGTACAGATAGACAGATGGACCAGTTAACATGGACCAACAATCTCACCAGTGTTGCAGGATCACCACGGTTGCCTTTTTTGCAATACATGCGTTCCTGTCTTCCGTCTTTGAATTATTGCAAGTGCGAACTGAGCAAAACAAAATCCTTACTGTACGGGAGAAACCGTACTACCATTCAGCCCCGTAACATTCTTTCCATAGGGGAAACTTTGGTCGCTCTGCGGGACGGGATAAAATTATCCGATCGGAATAAAATTTTGCACACATCCTTGTGTCATAGTATCGACAAGATTTCCGACCCGGCCCGACGAATCCGACAAACTTTTCCAAAATGGACCATATATATATATATATATATATACATACATAAATACATATATTTATTTATTTTTTCCGAAATTTTCAGAAAAGTCCACTTTCATCTCTGGAACACACTTCCATTGTTTGAAGGGTTTCGCATAAGTGAGTAATTGAAATGATAATAAGGCAATTTGTACAGGAGAACATCGTCTTGGAACACAGTTCACTCTTTCATTTCAAATAAAATTGGAAATTTCAGCTTTGGTAGATATACTGTAAATAAGCACGAGCAACTTAATTGGAATCTGACAACAGTTTAATTCTTGAAACTTCAAATTAAGTTTAAAGTGCATTTCCAATAAATTGTAAGCATATCAAAGTTTTAAACATAATGCAACTGTTTTGCATATTTTTTTAATGTAATGAACAATGTTTCAGATCATTACTAGTTAAAATAATAAAATTAGAGAGGGGAAATTTTGAGGAAATATGAACCAGAATAAAGTGAGAAATAAAATGGATGGAAGATTGATGTTCCAGGACCATGTTTATTAATGGTGATCACTTTTTTAGGCCTTCGAAGCAGTCCAACAATATTGCTAAGATTTTACATGCCCTGAATTCCAACTGATACTAATACATCAAATATATTGGTATAGTTATAGCGTCTACACCCATCCTCAACCATTTTCTTTTTATCATGTGTAAACATACTTCACGCAGCAGCTGTCGAAATAACAAAGCCTAACTGGCGGTAGGAAGTTTTCTTTTAATTCCATTAGATGCCGTACAAACCACCTACACGGTAAAAGCTAGAAAATAAAACAAACATGACACCTTGAGTCGCTCTTAACTACACACATGCAAATATTAATTCAGCACATATTCTCATCGCAGACATAATTCGACAGACAAACCAAAATATTCACCTTGGTACCACTCTCAACCAGGCTAAGTATCTCCAAGTTGTTAATTTTGTCATTTGCGAAACCAACGAACCTCATCCAAATGTACTCGATATACACCATCAATTGTCAAAACTGTCAAACAAGCCAGTATCCCTCTCCGCATTCCTTCAAAATAAGACTTCCTTCTAACAGGGAGCCAACAAGGAAAGGTCCACTCTGTCAACAATTAGGCAAATAAGACCACAGTCCTTTACAATTCCTATGTAATCCTGCAGGTGGACTCTTTTACATGTGTTTAGGTGGCCAGCGAAATCATATTATAATATCCACACATTTAGATGTCTTATATTGGAAGGCTTATATTGGAAGGCTCATTCTGAACTTTCAGTCCTGACACGTTAATTTTTTATCAGGATCTTTCTAATCTGCGGTTTTACTTGCTTTTTACTGATTGGCATCCCCATTTTGTAAAGTTGAGACTCAGTGATTCACCTACGGTGCCCCCCTCCCCTTAAATTCCAACCTTCGACCTCATCGTGGTGGGGGCGGGGGGTGAACGGGTAACAGAAGGCTCTGGTAGAAGCAGGGCTGGGGACCCGGCTTTTAAATAAATCACCACGAAACTTCTTTCTTCATGCCTTCACAACCTACTGAAATTACGACTCAAGCTACGGCGTCTGCGGGAACCAACGCGCCTGCCCTCACCTCGGCGGGGTGGGTGATAAATGTGCAAACCGAGCACCACCACCATCACCTTCTCCGACGCCGTGAACACGTCAACATTGCTTGCTGGAACGTCTGGACTCTCTGCGTCGAAGGGACCCAAGCCCTCAACTATGGCATCAGCGTGGCATTCCTCTCCGAAGTACGCCTCCCTGATGCCGGGCAGCGACAGCTGAAGGTCCCTGGTGTCGATGCAGTCTACAACCTCTACCATAGTGGAGTGATGGACAACAGCGGCCAGCACGGTGTTGCAATCACCCTTGCTCCCGAGGCAGAGGCTGCACTGTTGGCGTGGGAACCCATCTCCCACCGCCTAGCCAAGGTGCGCTTGAGGGGTGCCATTGCCAACATCTCTGTCGTGGTGGTGTAAGCGGCCACACTGAATGCTGCTGATGTGAACAAGGAGCAGTTCTACCATAAGCTCCAGAGGAGCGTTGATGGCATCCCCTCCAATGACATTCTGGTGGTTGCAGGAGACTGGAATGCACGCACCGGACCTGCGACTGACACCACGCGACAAGTGTTGGGGCGCTTTGCTCTGGGAAGATGCTGCGACAACGGCTCGTCAACTTAGCCGCCTTAAATCGCCTAGTCGTGACGAACACGCTTCCAACACCCCCAACTTCAGCTAGTCACTTGGTACTCGAACGATGGGTGGTGGACTAACCAGATTGACTACAGTCTGGCTCGGTCATGATGGGCAAGTTCAGTCCTCGACGTGCCGGCCTACCGCAGTGCAGACATGGGCGGCAAGAGTGGCT